TAATTAATTAAAAATAAATATAAAAATTTATGAATTAATTATTATGCCTCTCATTTATTAAAAAAAATTAGTATACTCCACCTGAAGCGGATGGAGTGATGGCAGTATTCATTGATGTACCAAGTAAAAAAAAAAAAAGAAAAAAGAAAAAGGACAAAATATACTGTAATCATTTACAGGGTACTAAACAACAATAAATATTGCATTTCGGTTGAGCACGCAATATGTATGCAGTTAACGACTCCCGTCCTTTACCCAGAAAAGAATTGTACTACTTCTCCACTTGATCTTTTCATACTCAACAGTTAATAAATTGGATCATTTGGGGCAACTCAATTGTGAAGAACATAAGATCTCAGTTCTTGACCCTCAAGTCAGGTAGAGCTATTAGGGGTAACAGGGAGGGCAATACAAGAGTTATATACTAAAAACAACAAATTGGGTCAATTTACGGGTGGGATTCCTGAACGTATTCATGATCAATGTGGTTTTTCAAGAACTGAATGGGGCATTCAGGGTTACTATGTTTTTTCTTATTTTTACTCTCCCTCTCTATATATATCTGGTTAGACATTAATGCTGCAAATTAACCATTTTGCAGATCATGGAACACAGGTGGCAATATCCATCAGTATCTCAAAAGATACAAGGGCAACCTTACCTATTCCTGAGGCACTTTCGAGGCTGCAGCTATGGTGTGATGCAAAATACCACTCATGCTAGTGGAGCCTATGTGAACTGGAGAGAAAAGGGTGCATTACAGCCAGCTTTCCCAGGGAAAGAATCATCTCCAGTGCCAATTACTGTAGGAGCCCCAGTTGAAAAGACCAGACTTTTTCTTCATGATTTGGTTAGGTCAGCAATTATAACAACAGCAGTAGCTCCTATTGAGCGAGTGAAGCTCTTACTGCAGTGCCAGAATATGATAATCAACTCGGGTCGGCTCTCCCATCCATACAAGGGAATTTTAGACTGTTTTTCTACAATAATCAGAAATGAAGGTTTCTTTGCCCTTTGGAGGAGCAATTTGGCAAACCTGACTACCCATTTTCGAATGGTAATTTACATTGGTTGTCCCATGTATATACATATTCTGATAACTGCAACTAATTGGTTGGCCTTGTAGGTACTAAACTTGGGTTTCTCAATTTCACTGGGCTATGAAAATGCAAAGTTTGTGGACATCTCCTCTGCATTGCTTTTAACTGCCAAATATGCATTTGCTGGGGCTGCTTCAGGCCTTTTTTTTTATCCATTGAATTATGCCGAAACACGCCTGGCAAATGATGTCAAAACTACCTCTGGTACTAGGCAGTTCAATGGCATAGTTGATGTATACCGAAAAACCTTGATTTCAGATGGCATTGGTGGACTTTACCGTGGATTCAGCTTGAGTCTGGTTCGCGTGACTCTGTTTCCCACAATCCAAGCGCTCACTTTCCATGCTTTAAAGCCATGGTTTCTTGGTTATCAGGTTAGTTGTCATCTTGTCAAGATGAAAACTGAAGAACTAGTCATGTCATCTAACCATTGACGATAGTTCCATCCTAGGTGCATTGTTTTGGTAATTAACTTGAGATATTATTGCTTTTATGTTAATAACTTTTGTACTATTATTTAGTGTATCATTCTATAAATCAAGTCTGTTGTATGGGAATGAGATTGATTCGTTATATAATATTACGCATTTTCCTTGCAGAGTAATCTTATGCCTGCAGTATGGATACAAGCATTTGCTGCTTTATCTTTCACTACTATGGCTCTTTACCCAACGGGTACTGTGTGTAGAAGGCTGATGATGTGATCTGGAGAAGCTGTCAAATATAAGAGTCCATTAGATGCAATTTCACAAATTCTCAGAAAAGAAGGTGTCAGATCCTTTTATAAAGGTGGAGGGGCAGAAATCATTAAACTCACTGTTTCCACTGGACTTCTGCTAGCCATATTTCTCCCGGTTTGGCGTCGTGTTGCTGCTGAGAAAAAGAGGACCAGTGAGAGTGGTCGTCCTGCTCACACCACTGTTAACCTTAAATGGAGTAATCTCAGGGACGGAAGCCATGACAGTGACAAGTGAAGGTTCATATATTCTGCATTAGAATGCTAGCTCTTGCAGTGACCAACTAGACCTTGAATCTTCTTACGTTTATATCCTTCAACAAATTCTTGTTCCTTTCATAACATTGATGCCATTGATCTCTCTCCTTAAGATTTAATGAACAGTGGAGTAGTGAAAATCAATGGATTGACTCCCTCTGTTTGCATTATCATTTTTTTTTCTCAGTTTGCGTTTTAATGCTTGGTTGCCTTCTACAACTTTTAATCTTTGTGTATGGTACAAAAGCTACAGATGTTGAGAGATTGAGAGGTATTTATAGTATAAAAAGAAAAAGGTTTTTGTAACTCAAATTATAAAAGTATTTAAATACAAGTTATTTTGAGACTTTCATAACTTGAATTATACTTTTCTTATTCTTTTTCTTTTTTAAAAAAAGCTATTTTCTTGCTTCGCTCCTTGGCCAGCTTTCTCTTTGTAATTCAGCTAATCGATTTTTTGGTACAGCCTTTGAGTACACCCCATTAACAAATCATTAAGATGAAATTAAAAAATTTATAGGAAATTATTTTTTCTATTAACTTTTCATGGCAAACACCGTTAAATAAGTTAACCTGCCAAAACCCTTGCTAAATGGTCTACAACGAAGAAAGGTAAATTTTTTACCAGGAAATGTGAGATTACCAGAAAAAAAAAAAAAATAATTGCAAAAAAATAAAATAAAATAAAATAAAACAAAATATTTTACATTTAGACAGCAAAATATTAACAATTAAATAACAAATGAGTCTTTAATAATGAGTATAGCATCTATTTAATAAATAGTGTTTTTGAAGTCACATCCGATAATAAATTGAGAAAAAATATTATAAAAAAATATTTATATACTTTGAATTGTATTAAATTATATAATTATAATTATTAAATAGTAATGAACTCTTGATATTAAGAGTTATATTTTTTATCTAATAATTTCTTATTTTACACTTCGATTCAGACTATGAAATAAGATATTTAAATATTATTCTTGAATAATAAAATAAAAAAAGTTCTTTGCCTTATTAGTAATTAGAAAGGAACATTTACACGCAGCTGGCATTCATTTTAGCATGCAATATATGCAACATATGGGTTCTCCTTTCTTTACCCAGGACAGAAAGTTGCTTGAATTGGATTCTTCACTATTTCTTCTCTCTAGCTTGCTCCTTCTCCATTTTCTGCTCATCTTCTTCCTCTTCAGAATTTAGGTACGGTACCTTACTTTTTAAGACTCTGTTTGTTCTTAAAATTGGAATTTGGGGGGAGGTGTTCTGTTTTCAATGCCTTGCATTACCCAAGACTCAAAACACAGTCCTGGAAGCTGCTGATTGAAACTTCTTAGCAGAATTCATGACCTTGGTTCTTGTTTGCAGTGTGGTATAATTTCATGACCTATGTGTTGTGTTTCTGAGAGCTGATTGCTTATGTTTTCATTTTCTTGTTGGAAAGTGGGATCTTCTTGTTATATTTGAGAATTGAGAGAAGTTTAGCAAGTTAGGTTTTTTGGATTCTGTATTTCGGGTGGGATTCCTGAAAAATTTCCATGGGTTTTGCTGGTTCCTTCATGGCATTATTGTGAAATCTTCAAGAATGAATGGGGCATTGAGTTTGTTACAAACCAATTTTCTCCCTTTCTTTGGTAAAAGAGGTTTTTCCATTTTCAACCTTTATTGCAAGATGTTGCATATACATGTTATGTTCTACTTAACCTTAGTTCTAGATGCCCCTCAATCTATTTTTACTATCCCTCCCTTAAAGAATTGTAAAATATGAGATCTGTATGTTGGTAGTCTTTACTTTGGATTTTTCAGTTTTAATGCTAGCTTTGGTTTGATGGTGAAAGAAAGTATATTAGCACAACCTCTGCCTTCTGGTATTGCATGAATGGCACCTAAAATGCTTAAATACAATGCTGAAAGACAAAGTTCTCACATTAGCATCTGTGCCTGCTAGAATATTTCTTCTATAGACTTCGAGACTGAGTAGCAGAATGGAACATGGATCACTATATCCACCTGTATCTCATAAGATACAAGGGCAACCCTACCTATTCCTGAGGTATTTTCGAGATTCTCATGCCTGCCATCCAACAATACAAAACATTCTTGGAAGTGGTGCCTGTATGAACTGGAGATCACAAGGTCCATCGCCTCTGGCATTCCCAGGCAGAGAATCATCTAGCATACCACCATTTAAAATCACTATAGGAGCCCCAGTTGAAAGGAGTCAGCGCCATCTTCTGATTAATTTGGTTCTTGAATTAATTACAACAACAGCAGTTGCTCCTATAGAGCGAATGAAGCTCTTAATCCAGAGCCAGAATATGATGATCAACTCGGGTCAGCTGTCCCAACCATACAAGGGAATTTTGAACTGTTTCACTAGAACAATCAGAAATGAAGGCTTCTTCGCCCTGTGGAGAGGCAATACTGCAAACCTCATCTGTCTCTGTTCCATGGAGGTAAATTCCATCAAGTTGTCTTGTACATTTTCTGGGGAATCACATCTCATAATTATGTCTGCAACTAATTGGCCCTTTATTGTTTTGCGTCTTCTTTCTGTACTGTCAACTTTTGCCTTTTTCTTTATTAAATCCTGTCACCTTCTATGTACAACAGGCACTGAGTTTGGCTCTCACAAGTTCTTATGTGAGTTATTTCAGTTACATGAAAGACAAAAGCAACACAACTTCTGCATTTCTTCTTTCTGTCAGATTTCTTATTGTTGGGGCTGCTGCAAGAATTCTTCTGATTTATCCATTGCTTTATGCGGAAACACGTCTTGCTAATGATATCAAAACTGCAAGAAACTTTGGTGGAAGGAATTTAATGGTATAATTGATCTCTACAAAAAAACCTTGAAGTCAGATGGCATTCGTGGACTTTATCGTGGATGTAATATTGCAATGGTTGAGGATTTTGCATTTGTTACAATTGAACGGTTCTAACTTCTTGCCTCGAAGCCATGGTTCAACAGTTATCAGGTTAGTTATGGCCATGAAAGGTAAGGAACTGGCATCAATGTGATTTTATTTATGCATCTCATGTGCTAATCATGGTTCTATTTTGCTTGCCTTGCTTTGCTCCAGAAAATCTTTGTTAATTTACTATTATTGTCTCCTTTCTATAGTCTATACATGAACTTTGTTCTATTGGAATTGACAATAATACAATATTGCACCTGTGTCTTGCAGACTAATTTTTTGCCTGAAGGAATACTAGGATTGGGAACTACAACATTTGCTCGGTTGGCCACTTATCCAATGGATACTGTGAGCAGAAGGATGATGATGAGCTCCATGGAAGCTATCCCATACCAGAGCACATTGGATGCATTTTCACAAATTCTTAAAAAGGACGGTTTTAGGTCCTTCTACAATGGTGCAGGGACAAAAATCCTTTAATTTGCTGCTCGTTTCAGTCTTACTCGAACCATTATTCACCAAGTTTCATCTCCTACCCCTGCAAAGGAGGGGACGGGTGATGGCGGTCGAGTTGCTTCAACCGTTATCACCCTTAGAAGGAGTGATGGTAAGGATGGACGGCATGGCAGTGACGGCAGTTGATTTATATTACTTCAGCCCCCCATTTCTGTTGAAGTTCAGTTTTATGTTAGACAAGGAGTAGAGATTTTGATGATTCCTTATTAGAATCCTCAATTTTTGTTAGGTTTGTCCTTGTATTGACCAAACAGATTTTGAACACCAACGACTTGTTAGTTCGAGTGGAAGGAATTCGATTTTCTTTGAGTAAAGTCTTAAGTTTGAGTCTTGTGAATTGAGAAACAGGCGCTAGAAGAATTTTTCCCTAATAGGATCCGACACGACTCGAATCTAGATTAATTAGAATCTATTGTGATTATTAGATATCGAAAGGTTAATACCAAAAAAAAAAAAAAACAGATTTTGAACTGTCTATATTCTCATGTGAAATCTGTTCCTTTTGAAACATACACCCTCGATTGATAATTACACAAGTTCCTGCCACTTTCAGAATTATTCCATCATTGAGACACAGGAATTTGGAATTTCTAACTTGAAAATTTATGTTTTTCTCTTATTCATAAAACTGATAAACTACAACATGAATAGAATAAAGGTTTTAGTTCTTGAGAAGATGGGTCAGATTGGAAAAGAAAAGAGTCGAGAAAATTAAGAAGCTTCTATTACAATTAAGAAAAAGAAATATCTGAATTTTGTATTTAACTGAATTGCATTAGCAAATATCAAGGCTTCTTGCACAAAATCAACAATGGATAATGGGAAGGGTAGAGCTACTTTGACAACCATCACTTCCACAGCTCTTCCATTGGTATTCCTCTTTCACGAGCAACATCACGGAACTGCCTCATCTTCTGTACAGCAACAACAGTGGCTCTAGCGTTGTTAAGGGCATTTTTGCTTCCAATCTGCTTTCCTAAAGCATTCTCAACACCCGCCATTTCAAGAACAATTCTCACAGCACCTCCAGCAATGACTCCAGTACCTGGTGAAGCAGGTCTAAGCATCACCTTTGCTGCCCCATAATCGCCTTCAGATCTGCCAATTTACTCATTGACATTAACACAAAAGTAGATTGGCATAGAAACTTAATCAACCATTAATACATACTGGCGACTCCTCTCCAAAAGAATGCAAATTATGCAAAAATCTAGATGGAAATTTTTGTCATTTGTATCCATGTTCAACATTCTTATGTTAAAGCCTTTAACCATGAAAACAGCTAGTTAGCACAGAAAGGTACTTTGTTCTAATTGGGCAAGTCTGATGTATCTCAATGATACCACAAGGGTTTGTACCATAATTATTCAACACAGCCTCAATTGACAGCTTTTTAGGTTTGTCAGGCAAATGAATCATTATCTTAGGAACTTCATAACACCATGCCAAGAATTTACAAAAAATTTAAACATAACCTCAGATTTTCCAATTTAATTTAGATAGACCTATAGTTTGAAATAGATTCTTGAACAACCAAATAACCTGCCACATGAACACTGTCTCTTGCAATATCCAGATATATATATATATATATATATATTTTCAGCATGTCCAGAAGATTATTGATGCAGCTAATTGCTAACTGAATCTTAAGAGGAGATTTTCAAGGTGTTATATCTAAAATGTGAGGGTGGTAATTTTATGGAAAACAATAATGTGCTCCCAACATAGGCTTACACTCATTCACAGGACTCAATAACCTTGCAAATTTCATTTGAAAATCCTACATGTCAGACTCAGCGCCTAAAATTTGAATAGCACTGGTAAGATTGCCATAGTCCAGGAAATATACAGAAGAATCTAGGATATATATTAATCACTCAGAGAAGCAACATCACATAATTCAATTAAACAAAGTTTCTCATTTCAAACAAATTTCCACAATATCCTGCCACCTACCATAGATTCCGAACAACTATGCCACCAATCTTGACATGTAATCAAATGCATAGAAGATGCACAAACAAATCAAAGCCCCAAAGAACCAAGAAAACTGGGCACATTATATCCATGGAAACAACAATAGACACTAGTATTCATTCCAATAGTAAAATTTCCTTCCAAGGCAACAAACATTCTCATTTAGCAAGCTTTATATAACTCTAGACTAAACCATAGAAATCCCACATAATCCACAGCAAAAACTCAAACAGGAAACCGAGAATTGAACTCCTTACCTATGCGGGAATGTTAAGTACTTGGTCATTGGCACTGTAATAATATTCCTCCGGGCATTCACAGCAGATTTCTGTACAGCACCAATCACCTCCGTGGCTTTGCCAACACCAACACCCACCTGACCCTGCTTGTCCCCAACCACCACAACTGCTCTAAAATGCAACTGCTTCCCTCCTTTCACCACTTTGGTCACTCTCCTCACTTGAACCACCCTCTCCTCGAACCCATCCCTAACTTTGTCCTCCTTTGTTTTCTCAAAAGCACTAGTCTTTTTCACTTTCGAGTCCATGACATAAATGTCATTGCCTAACACAGAAACCCCACTATATCCCGGGCCGTAGAGCTCCTCGTAGGCGGCGGCAACATCATCTTCAGTCTCCTCGGGACCCTCGTCGAAGGAAGGCGGAGGGACGAAGCCTTCTGGGGGAGTTGGGGGGTCGAAAGGGATTTCGTCTTCTGGGTCAAAGTTGTCGAAAAAGGAGGTGTCGATGTCGCTGGGTTTGGCTCTGGTTCGGAGGACGAGTCCGGAGGAAAGGGAGAGAAATGGGCGTGACGAAGGCGAGGATTTGGAAGATGTGGGGAATAGGATAGAGAGGCGAGGACTGAGGGGGTTGTGCGGCGTTAGAGAAGAGAAGGAAGGTAGAGCGGCTGCCATAGCTGTCGCCATGGAGTTATAATTGTACATACAGGTTCGAAGCAAGCAGTGGAGGAAAGGAGGAAAAGGCTTATCTCCAGAAGGCCTGAAATGGGTCAGGTGCTGTAACCCGGTCCGGAACTACAGTGTAAAAGCACTAAAACCAAAAAAAACAAAAATGCAAGAAGGACCTATCTCATTGTGCCACGTAAGCTTTTAAAAAATGCACTAGCCAACTAGCTAATGGATCCCAACATTGTCATTACCCTATTATATATCTCATTGAATAAGGTAACAATACATATAGTATTATGTTCATGAAAAAAATATAATATTACAAACATAAAAAAAATATACATATAATATCACAACATAAAAAATATATATATAATATTACATACACACTCTTAAATAAAATATAATTTATCATATAATAATATATTAAAATTATAAATTTATAATATTTTTTTTGAATAAATTATAATTAAAGAAAATAAGATTTCAACTTCAACCTTAAAGTTAAGAATACATTTTACAATAAATATATAGTTATCAAATTACGAAATTAAGTGCATAGATGTATAGTATAAACATATTATGACTGTAAAAGATTATTATGTAATTTATATCATACAATAAAAACTTTAAATAAGAGACAAATTTTTTAATATTTATTTTATATATTCAAAAAAATTTATTTATTAAATATCAACTCAAATAAGGTTTTTTTATTTTTTTGGCAACTTGGAGAAGGGAACATATTGTTGACTAGCTAAACACCCGAGGATTTTAGAAGAGACACGTGTCCTCCACGTGGCGTCATCAGCGCCACCTGTCAATTCAAACACACTGCCTCCTTCAGTTGCTCTCTATAAACGGTGCATGCCGAAACGGCTAAAAACCAGAACCAGAACACAGTTTATTAAGATACCAAGGACCGTCGACCGCTAACAATGGCAGCTATGGTGATCTCCAAGACCGCCGCAATGTTCAGCCCCTCAAATGCTTTCCCTCAATCCCTCTCTACTCTCAGATCCACCCCCAAAGTCTCTCGCATCTGCTTCACCGCCTCTGCTACCAAATATGGGGTACGTAAAAGCACTACATTAAACTATAATTATCAAGTAGTTTTTTTCATGAAATATATTTGATTTTGGTAAATCCATGGTTTTCATGAATTTCAGGGCACAAATCCGTTTGCAGAATCCAGAGACTCAAGATCATCAAGGATGAGCGATTCAGATGATGATGCCTTGGGAGAAACCATGGAGAAAGCAAAAAAGTACGCAAATGAGACAAGGGAGAAGGCTAAAGATGGGACTTACAGAGCCGCTGAAACTGTGGAGGACATGACACAGAGAGCCAAGGAGAGGGCTAAAGAGAGTGCAGAGAGAGCTTCTGAGACAGCACAAAACATGAAGGAGAAAGCTAAGGAGTATGCATACGACACCAAGGAGAAGGCTAAAGAGGGGACAAAGAGAGCAGCCGAGACAGCTTCCGACATGACAGAGAGCGCAAAGGAACAAGGAAAGGGTGTGATGGAGAAGACGGCTGACATGGTCGGTAATCTGGCAGGTAAGGCCGCCGATACTGTAAAAAATGTGGGAGAAAAAGCAAAGAAGACTGCACAAGGTGCATGGGATGCGACTAAGGAAACAGCCGAGAAGGTTAAGGAGACGGTAGCGGGGAAGGATGAAAACACCTCTTCTTCGGATGAGGATGATGTGGATAATTTAAGAAAGCGTGTAGGGAGAGATCCTAATAAAAAATATTGAAAAGGGAATCCGGTTGTTTTTACTTCTTTTTTTTTTTTTTTTTTAATAATTTGGGGGGCAGGAGGCAGGGGCGGTTTTCTTTGTGGTTTGCCGTTTTCCTTTTGTATCTGCATACTGAAATTT